CATACTAGCAAATGAATTAGAAATGTGTGAGATTTTCATTTGAATGCGTGTTAGGGATGAAGTATGCAAATTTTTCTTATGACTTACGTATGTTGCATGTAAATAGAATGCTAGTATAACTAAGATGTAAGAGTGCTTTTCAGGATGAATGAAGTAGAAAGGGAAAAACAACATATATTTCACCATTTGAAAAAGAGCTTATTGTTGGTATCAGTTTAACAGGGACTCGATTTCGAACACAGCAAATCTTACTGGGTTCTGAAAAGCAGCCATATCAAAGGTTTTCAAAACTTGGAATCAGAACCCATAGTCCTTGTCTAGAAGACGTAACAGCGTTTCGAGCAGAGTTTTCCAAGAGAATGATCGGTGTCATCTCCTACGAATAGTACGGCAGAACAGGGATTCTACTCTGCTTGAACTGACACAGATCGTCAACCAAGGCTCTGCCAAACAGGTTTCATCTCAAACCATGCGCAAAGAATTGCAGAAGATAGGAATGCCTAATCGGGCGCCTATGAGAAAAACCACTCATTTCTACCCGACATGCAAAAATTCGTTTGCAGTGGTTTCGGGAAAGAAAATACTGGATATCTGAGGATTGGAAACGACTAATGTGGTCGGATGAATCACGCTACACTTTATTTTGCACTGGTGGAAGACGTCGAATTTGGCGAGAACCCCATAAAGCTATGAATCCATTTTGCCTTACTCGCACTGTGCAAGTGTCTAGTGAGAATGTCACGATATGGGGCATGTTCTGCTGTCGTGGAAGTGGTGCCCTAAAAAGGGTAAACAAACAGCCATGAGATATCTAGATATGCTGGTAGATCAAGTGCCCCCTGCAATGTTGCATTTTTACCCTGATGGCGACAGATTCTTCATGGACGATAATGCAACTATGCATCGTGCCGTGCCAGAAGTGTTAAAAGCTGGTTCACTGAACATCACTCTGACTTCCAACACCTTTCTTGGCCACCGCAAGGCCGGATCTTAGCCCATAAAAATGTGAAGTATATGGTGAAAAGACACATCCGACAGCACTCCCCTCTTCCATCTAATTTACAAGATCTAAAAAGTTGCATATTATCTGGACGTAAATGCACTCCAAAAGCATGTAGACTCGATGCCCAAACGAACCAGAGCAGTTATCGTGCAAAAAAGTGGTCTAATAAAATATTGATCTTGGGCTTCTAGTTCATTTGCCAGTGTGTGCATATCTTAACACTAATGTTTTTTTACATGAAATAGTTTCATATTTTTAAATATTAAACTATATGCTTTTAATTACATTAAATAGCTTTAAATTTCTCTTCCCCGTATTTGTTTTAAAATATAATTACTAACTGTGAAACATGTTTCAGACGTAAATATGTCAACCTTTTATTGTTTTTGTCATACATTTATATTAGAATATAAATTAACAATCCAAAAATCAGATTAAAGAGTGCTGCAGAGGTTTATTCGAATTCATATATTCGAGTTCTCTTGGAAAACTTCCATTCTTTGCAAGATAATGAAGATGTCATTTAACTACTCATCCTTATACAGGCATTATAATTTCCAGTGACAAATTAACTTTTGCTGTTGTCATTCCATTCTGATGCATTTTAATCGAAATTGTCATTTTAATTAATCAAATAGCTATAAGAAATATTAAATATTTTATCACAAGAAATAGTTTTGTTTGGAAATACGTAATTTTATTTGCATTGCAAAATTTAAAGACAGATTATCGAGGATATTAATAACATTTCAAACCCAAACTTATAAGGTATTTCTCTCGCCATCTTAGTATCCTTCGTGTTGTAGTGGTCTGCACGCTTGGCGCAGTCCGTGGTTCGATTCCCGGCGAGAACATTGCTCCTTTTTCCCGACTCCTCTTTTAAAATGAACCTAATGTCTCTACAAACTCAGTATCGAAATTCGAAGCTGTGTCTGAGATATAAAAGTAAAGAAATTTATTTCAACCTTTTACTCTCTTTCTGATTATTTACAAGTAAATTAAATGAACTGATTTCTAAGTACAATAAAGGAATTCAGTTTTTATAACTATAAATACAAGGCGTTGCAAAACATACACTTCTAGCCATTTTATGTGCGTTTTGCCCATACGCAGTAACAAAATGAAAAATGCGATGTAGTATATTTATCGCAGTGTATACTACAAACATAAGAGCTGTAGAAAAATTTCTATGAGAAAAATAAAAACGATATATAGTGTTTCTTATATATAGTCTTTCAAAATATCATTTCCCCAATATATAGTTTCCTAGTCATAGCTTCAGCTGCTCGGAATATCCATGGAATAGCTTGAAAATAGTGTTCAGCAATAGTTTAAAGTAGTTCCCATCGATCTATACTAAAAGCACTTTATATTCCATTAGTAGAACTTTCTATTGTTGTAATATTTCCATTTTCGTTTTCGAAATTGTCAAGAAAATGTCTTTAAACTGTAATACTAAAAATATATTTTCCTTAGTACTTACGTTTAGTATTTGAAATATTCAGGAAATGTATTTTCTGGTAAAGAATTATAAATTAAATTCAACAGTTTTCCTAGTAATGTATAAAATTCATTAAGTTCTAGTTTTTTGCATTATCAGGTTAGAAATAAAATAAAAAATAATATGGAAATAATGTAGATAGTAAACACAGCTTAAATACGTTTAAAATTAAATATATTTGTAGTTGAAAAATCTGTCATCTATGTTCTGTTAGTTTGTTTATTAAAAACCTCAATAGTAAACAGCTCTAATTAATCGGATTGCAGATATTCAGGATTTTAGTTATCTGGATCACGTGTGCTAAGCTTGTTGGTAATTTATTTAAGCATTTACGAATTTTGCTTTGACTTTATGACGTAAAACATTTGTCTTTTCAATCTTTGCCTAATCAGAAGAACAAATATTATATAAACAGTAAATAAAACATTTATTGACGGTTATTTAATTTTTACGTTTACTACTTTACAATAAAAAGTTTAGTTTAATTTTAGTTGAAGAGAAGAAGGTTATAAGTATTGTTTTAGGTTTTAACTCTAATACCATAAAAATAAAAGTAGAAATAATGTGCATAGGTTTACAACTTCTGGCTAAATGAAATAATGTTCACTGTTTTAATTAAGATAAAATAGAAATAGATATGTTTAATAAATTTTAGTTGTTAATTTGTTGAATAAAATCTTATGCTTTGTTTTATTGGAAAGAAAATACGTTTTTAATGTAAACTCTCTTAAATAAAATATAATAAATATAATATGTTAAATAAAACTGCTTCGCCTGTTATAGAGTAAATATAAAATTTAAACCTCTGAAAATGGAGGACATAATTATTTGAAATTACGAATATGTGGATGGAGTTCCGGTTAATTCAGATATTTGAAATTCTACTATACTAGCAAAATTCTCCAGTTTGTATTTATATTCTTTGGCATCTCAATGAAGATAATATTTGGCAAGTAAACAATTTTACAATCTCTTCAAGTGTAAACTGAATTGCAGACATCTTGAATTTTTTTTTTGAAGAGAAATAAATTCAAGTATTCTAAAAAAATTGATTGTGAAACTGTTTCAGTCTTTGATGTTTCTGTAGTACTTAATTTTTTATTTATTCACAGAAGCTCTAAATTTTATTTTAAGCTAAACATACTTTATGTAAAGGCATTTAAAGCGGATGTTGTTTCATTTATTTCTCAATCCCCCTTAAATTGAATCTGCTTTAAACCTATATATTAAATAAAATTTCAATGCATACGTTGCAATGTTTGATTTTATGTACTAAGCAGATTACCACACATAAAAATAATCAAATAAAGATAACTAGGAAAAAAATGCATAATAGTGGAATGACCAAAGTAAACTGATTCAAAGAATGATGTATTAAGACATGTATTGCGACACAAATTTACAACAATTTATTAGCAACAGAAATACAAGTTTCAAGACCGAACAAGCATTCTAAGAAATTCCTTTATTATGGTTAACAGTTTTGTTTTACTTCTTATTCTGAAACTTCCATGTATGTTGATTTTCTTGCCTCTAGCAAATCTAACTAACACCTATTCAGTTATATAAGGTACTTCTCCCACTTGCCTAGCGTGCCTTCGTGGTGTAACGGTAGCACGCTAGGCCGGTATTCCAGAGGTCCGTGGTTCGATTCCCGGCGAAGGCGGTTGCATATTTTTCATCTTTTCTGCTTCCAATTAACCTAATGACTCTACAGTTATACCCGATTTTAAGTTTACCTAAATGTTTAAATTACCTAAATGCCATTTCAGGCTTACCTAATTATCTAAATCAAATTAGGCTTTTTTAAAAATCAAACGCACATGCAAACATCAAGCTTCTAAATAGGAGTCCGAAGATACGTCAACCAACAATGTTTACCAATGTATAGATCAGGGCGGCTAATTATGCTTTAATAAAGATAAATGCAAACCTATCCATAGAATTGTGTGAAAACTTCATTGAAATATATGGGCAACTGATATTTCACAACCTCTTGTACCAACCTAATAATTAATCTCCAAAATAAAAAAGAAATAATTTGTAATTAGTGCTTAGATTTGTTCAACATTTTTTTTTTAATTGAGGTCTGTAATTCGGCCAGGAAACGTGATATAAGGCTGTAAATTAATTCTCAAATACATCATAGAATTTTTTTAACTTAAAGTTATGAAACATTTTGTATTTAATTTACCCTACAGAGAACTTGCATTAGGATAACATTATATTTAATTTACACTCTCACTCATAATGCCGAATTTGTTTTCATAAGATTCTGAAGCATGGTTTGAGAAGTCTGGCAATTAAAAGGGCATGTGTTGAACAGCATTTAAAATAAATTCTATGGCTATATCTATTCTTGTCTAGCTGTTCGTATATAGCCCTTTTTTAAACATCGGAGTATTACATCTATTAATGTGCAGCATGCTGATTTTCTGCTATTAGTTATGTGTACTACATTATAATTTTGCTCACTTATTTATTTTTTTAATTCAGGGTCCTCCCGGACTGCCGGGAGAGCAAGGAGAACGAGGGTTACCAGGAGTAAGAGTGAGTATATTGTTTCTTGTAATATTTTATTCTTTAATATTCTTGTAACTACCAAAATATTTTTTATTATTTAAATTATTATTATTAGCATATGTTTTATCAGGAACTGCAATCGCTACAATAATTTTTAATTTTTCTTATATACATCTGTTACGCTGGGAATATATTTTTTACGTTAAATTTCCAATATTAGAAGCATAAAATAATTCAGATATATTTGTATTTAAATTAAGAAGAAGGAAAATAACTATTAAAGCACTATTAACATTTATTACTTAAGCCTGAATTTTAAATGAAGTGTCAGAGTAAATTAAACATAAACCACACACACACACACACAAAAAAAAAAAAAAAAAAAAAAAAAAACTTCCCAAAACAATATAAAATATTGCATTATTTTACTACAATTTTTCGACCATCCAATGATCATCTACAGAATAAGGCTCCGTAGGAATGGCCGGAAATATTAACAGTATAAAGAAATGTATGACTAATTTTGTTGTCATTTGTAATAATATTGACGAATTTTAATAATATTATTTTCCATTTATTCTTGATATTTAAATTTGGCTTTTGACCATTCTTGTGATAATTATTAAGGATGTCTAAAATACTAATTTAGATAAAAAATTTCGAGCCTATTCGAAAAAAATGTTTCTTTTTAATGTTTTCTAGAATTTAGTTTAATATTCTGTCACCTGTGTGTTGTTAGAAATTATTTCTTTCTTTTTGTTTAGGGAGAAAAGGGTTCAAGAGGAGATACAGGAATACCTGGAGCCCTGGGACCAAAGGTAATTATATCGTGTTGATTTTAAAGTTAACAGCAACATAGTTTAACATAAACATAAATGAAGTTATATAAAGTTTAGTTAAAATATAATTCAAGACATTAATAATAACTGGGCCAACCAGCGGCAGAGCGGTAAAGTCGCTGAACAGTGGTAGTTCGGTCCAAGGTTCGAATCCCGCGAACGGGCTGGCTGCATGGGTGATTTGTGGTTTTCCCCATATGTAACGTGTATACGAGCCCGTTTCCCTTAGAAAGTCCTCCATGAAGGCATCCATCCCCTTAGGCAGATAGCCCTAGTGTGCTTCGCCGTAATTAAATATACCACACCATTAATAATAATTAAGCTACAAATGTGAAACATATATTTAATCTAGAAACATGCAAAAAATAAAAATAATTTATACGAAAAAAATTTACACTTAAATAAAAATGTGTTATTCTGACTTAAAATCTAAACCTATTTGTGAATAATGACAAAAGTGTTCCGCTATATTACTATTATTGTTGTTATTATTATTATTATTATTTATGTCAAGACGTTATGTGGTAAGAATGCAAAACCTATCAATGTCCTGAATGCAATGTTTTAATTATTGTATATGGCCTTTAACAGATGGATTTAAAAAAAAACTCGAAAATATATGATTTTGTTCTTCCTTCCATATATTTAGAGAAAACAGAAACTTTAGAAAAAACTTTCTCTAGAAATATAATTATTTTGCTCCTGCCCACTAGATATTTTAGATGAAATATCCTTTTAATTGTTTACCTATGAATGCTTATTGTGTATTGTATAAATCCTGAATTCTTTTTAATTAAAAATTTTAAAAGTAAGTTACAATAAACTAAATTACAATTCTTATTTTATAGTTCATTAAGTACTTCATTATTTTTCATATATATATGAGAAATCATAAAGTTTGATAACTATTTCGTATTTTGTCTATAAGGGTATTGTTTAGAATTCAGTACAGAACCAATTCAAAAAAGCTTACGCGTTGCTTATAAAACAATAGTTTAGAGTGAAATGTCTAAGGAAAAGGGATTCATTCATTATCGCTCCGTGGAATATTTTGAAGGAAATGATACAGAACTCAATGAAAACGTTGACAGATAAAACTAATTTTCTCTTTTTTTAAATAACTCATATTTATGTTTGGATAAACGTATGTAAAAAATTCACCTGAATCACTGGTCTCTTTCTTTTGCAGAAACGTCCAGAGTTCAAACGATTAACAGTCGTACATGAGCTTCGAAGATATAAATGCGGTTAAATTTAAATAACTACACATTTCCTGTTCAAATAACAACACTAAACAATCTGATTTGGCTTCATCTAGCAAATTATGGCAAAGCACACTAGGGCTGTCTGCCTAAAGTGAGAGATGCTTTCGTGGAAGACTTCTAAGGATCCTATACACGTTTCACATAGGTAAAACCACGAAAACGCCCATACAGTCAGCCCGTTCGCCTGAAATCAAATACAAGTCGGTACTATCAGTGTTCAGCGATTTTACCACTCTGCCGCTGGCGGGCTAAATCTGAACAATAGGGGATTAGACAGTATTTAATTTCAGGGCATGCGTCTTTTAGTACATATAAATTCCTCTAATAGTTTATCTCAGAGGTTGCAGCTACGATTCTTAGAAATTATTAAGGATAAATGCCAATTACGTATTACCAGCCTAATAATGCAAAGATAACAAGTGAAGTACTTTAGATTTTTAATTGGCATATAAAAGTAAAATTGTCGTTTTTACATTATGTGCTAAAACGACATGCATATTATTATTTATATATGAAATGAAGCATGAATGGAGAATATAAAACAATAAAGCAAAAATAACCATTTCGACAACAAAGAGTTGATAGATACACGGTCCTTTTTGTTTGCCTTACGCCTTTTTGGGTATAAGTACAACCGTGACTTTCCCTTCGTTGCAGATTTCTTTGCTCCTAATAAAGAGGGACCTGCACCTGTTTTGCCCCCTAAAATCGATAGAGTCTTGACTATAATTTATGCCAAGCACTAGGTTATTATGCTTTGCTAATTTTAAGGCTTATTGACTATTTAAAATTATATTTGCAATTTCATAATTTATTTCAGTATTGAATGAGAAAGAGAGATATTTATTCCATACTATTCATTCATAGGAAATTATAGAGCAAAAACCAATATGCTGCACTATTAAATTTCATATATATATATATATATATATATTGCATCTCTTATTATAGGGGGACAAAGGGGAAAGAGGAGATCCAGGATTTTCCGGTCTTGACGGTCAGAAGGTAAGTAATGTTATCGAATGATCTTAGGAAATCTTATTAAATAAGCACAAAAATAATACAAAGAAATTAGTAAACAGTGCTATGAGATAAGGCTAATTATCTGTCAAACACCTCCAAATATTGTGGACATATGGTACTTTTGAATTAAATTCCGTTCTCCATTATTTCTAGACAGGGGAAAGGATTTATGATTCACACATAACTTATAAAGTGATGGAAATACTTTATAAATCCATATTGTTATCACTTACATGCTGTATTTTTTAAGAAAATGTTAGTGAACGTTAAGTATCAATTACATTGCAGAAATTTTACAGGGCAACCTTTCTCGAATTTCTCTTAAGTGGGACCACTTTTAAAAACAAGATTATTCTGCGGACCTCCTTAACTTTTGTCCCCCCCCTTTTTTAACAATTTTCTAGCATATGAGCTTTGAGTATAGTTATATTTTAAAGTACAATTCATTAAAATTTAAGTAATTTTATATTAGTACTAGTATTTAAAATAATAGAAAAAATATATTTGTATTTAACAATTCAAGCTGTTACAGTTTGAATAATCCTTACCATATTAACTACGGATTAAAAAAATGTTGGTAGTCACGTTAATGAGAGGGAGGAGACTGCCTATATTTGGTATAGCTTGTATAGCTTTTCTATATTTGGCTGTAGGCTGATAAAAGCACCTTAGTCATAGTGTTTTAAATTCCTCTTATTTTCTAAGTCCAAAGTGGGAAGCAATCTGTAACAAAATTTCGAAAACTTACCCTTGAAAGCGTGGCAGATGATTGCCATGTGTAATTTTGTGAGATATTCAGCTACAGGCTGCAACGAATTCGTCGTTTGGGGAAATAAAATTCAATACTCTCTCTACTTATATGAATATTCTCTTGTTTCGTGATAATACAAGATAATTCAAGAAATACCTGAAGGACCACAAGAGGATGTTTTAAGGACAACTTACGATTTGAAGACCAGAGGTTGAGAAAAGCTGTTAAAGGATATTTAAGAATTGTTACAAGCACATTTACACCCTTAAAGAAAAAAAAAATTAACCAAATGCATTATCATATTTTTATTCTTTTCCTGTAATTTATTTATTAAGCATATCTCTGCAAAATTTCCACGTACATGGATAATTTTGCTTTGCGCAATTAAATCATAATGAATGTTCGGTACTCTTATGTTATAAGGACCTGATTCAAAAATACAGTGGTGGCCAAAATTGTGGACACTTTTGGAAATTTTTATGTTTTTGAACTTTGTATGCTTATAGAAAACGTTACGTTTCACAAAATGCAAACTTGTATATATCATTTTAAAGAGAATTTATTACTGCATTTAATACAAAACACAAATATCAATTATTTGGAATACAAAAAAAGTTAAACGATAATAGTTATCGATATACATTAGATAGTGATGATTGCAGTGAGTTATTAGTACTTAGTAGGGTACCCTTTATTTTTGATTACAGCTTCACATCGACGTTTCATTGAGCTGACAAGAGTTTTAAGCTCTTCTTTCGTTATTACATGATGCCAGGAAACAATTATAGCTTCAATTAGTTCCCTTTTATTTGATGGGCGCCTCATTCGGACAAGAGTTTTCAAACGGCGCCACAAATTTTCGATAGGATTGAGGTCAGGACTGTTCCTGGCCATGACAACAATTTAATGCTCTTTGTACCAAACCACTCTTTCGATATTTTGGCCGTGTGGCAAGGAGCAGAATTCTGCTGAAAAATAAATGAAGCATTGTTGGGAAAGAGATCTCTGATGGAAGGTAGAAGTTTTGGTTCTAGAATAGTGTCAATGTATTTTCTGGCATGCAGTGTCCCATCGATGACATGAAGGCGACCAATAGCATCTGCTGACATGCATGACCAAACCATAACACAGTTGCTTGAATGCAATCAGGATGTAGCTGTTCTCCTATTCTACGTCTTACATATTTTCGCCCATCACTACCGAATAACGATATCTTAGTTCCATCACTCCATATACCTTGTGACCACTGATCATCTGCCCAATTAATGTGTTCCTTTACCCACTGTAGTCTTTTTTTTTTTTTTTTTTGTTGCTGAAAATTAAGATAAGGCTTTTTTCGTGGAATACTACCTCTCAGTCCAACATCTGTTAATCTTCTTCTGATTGTTCTTGAACTGACAGAAACACCAGCATCATTCAAATCACTTCTGATGGCCGCTGATGACATTTTTCTATCTTCGAGACATAGTCCTTTTATTCTTTTGTCATCAATAGATGTGGTGCACCTTTTTCGGCCTTTTCTTTCTTTGTTTTTTATTGAATTTGTGTCCTGATATCGTAAACAAAACTTTCGGACTCCAGATCATGGAGTAACTTGTAACTGAAGTCACTGGAGATAACCCACCTGTCTTGCAATTTCAGCATAGGAAAGACCACTTTCTCGTAACACAATAATATTACATCTCTTTCTAGGTGTCCAATCTACTCTTTTATTTGATGTCATTGCTTCTTGACTAAGTATTAAAATTTTTTACAAAACTTCCTACTTGTAATTCCAGTGTATAAGAAACAGGTCATCCTTCTATAGAACAAAGCAAAATAATGAAGAATTGTTTCAAGTGTAAACATGATGTCAGCTTCTACTGACAGTTATTAACATTTGATTGGTTCTCAGAACAAGAACAGAGATTGGCCAGGAAAGCTAGACATTACAAACCACTTCATAACTGTGTTTTTTATTTATATTAAAGTACATATAACTTTTTTTTGTATTGCAAATAATTGAATTTTGTGTTTTGTAATTCTCTTTAAAATGATATATACAAGTTTGCTGTTTGCGAAACGTAACATTTTCTATAAGCATACAAAGTTCAAAAACAAAAATTTCCAAAAGTGTCCACAATTTTGGCCACCACTGTATATGTATATATGCACGTGTGTTTAGATGTCTGAGAGGATATGTCTGTGTGTGTACACATACATACATACGTAGGTACATGTACATATATACATAAACACACAGTTCCATACATATTGTTACGATTTTTGTATTTATTTAGCTATTTTTAGTAGAATTAAAAATTGTTTTATATACCCGTGCAATGCAACGCGAAACATATTTGAAGACAAAGCTAAGCCGGAAAAGTTAAAATACAGCAGCACGCGCATTTAATAAATAGATAGCTCGTAATTGCTTTGCCTGAATAAAACATCTCAATTGAGTTGATTAGAAAACTGTTGTGTTTTACTGTAGCGAATTCGCGGCGAGATCGGATTAACTTTGTCTACGTTTCTCTGTTTTGAATTGTGTTCTGTAAAACGTTTTAGTAGTTTAAAATATTACTACTGTGAGATACTGCGATATTGTACGAATATCTCTGAAGAAATTTCAGCATTTTGTTTCATTTGTTGTGATAATAATAAATTTTATTCACTTTTCATCGAACTTTTGAATTCAATTTATTACGAACCCACGCACGAAACAATATGCTAAAATTTTGCAGTTTAATGCAGTTTTTGAAGTTTTTGCAGCACCACCATAATGCTTAATTATATTGCACAGATATTTCTGAATCCGGTCCCGATAACAGAAGAGTATCGAATATTTTACTGATTGGCATTTTTCACTGCACGAAGCAATATATAAAAGCTAATTTTATTTATTTATATTTTACCCAGTATTGTTGGGACTGCTTTAATACAATTCTACACCATATTTTGAAAAAATACACAGTTCTTTAAAATTATTATGTCTACACCATTATTTAAAAAGGACATAGATTCGATATTTAAGGAAACAAAGGTTTTTTGTTATCTTGTGAAGGTCGGCATCTGTTTATCCGCTGTATACTGTATACACTTCTATTGTAAGAGCTGAATTTTAATTACCTGAACGGCATCAGTGTATGTGTATATTTCACCATTCACTATTAATTCAAAAATATAGACATTTCAAATATTTTTTTAATGAAATAGTGCTACCCATGCATGCATGTGGATATTTATATCCATTAATCCGTTAATAATTTTACAGCTTATAATTTTACTGTCACTTTCGTCGGATTCCACTAGGACGCAAAATAGTTAATATATCAAAATAAAGAGTTCTTGAGTTTCAGGATAGCTTCTCCAGTAACATTCGCGTCTCGACATTATTTTTTCAAAGTTTCTGAATTTGCTTGAATTCGACTTTAACCTGATAACCATATTTGCCAGCTAGGTTATGGGTTTGAGCCAGAACTGGTAGACCAAAACTCGTAAAAGAGATGTTTTTAAACTTTCTTCTGCATCTGGAATTATTTCACTGGAAGGTTAAGAACAGTCACTCGATTGTTTTCATAGATTAAAAATTTTTTAAATTTACAGTTAATGTATATGCATTTCTCATAAATAGTGCAAATTTCTCACGCAGTGCGCATGGTTCGAACGTATTATATCAAAGTACGTTCGAATTTTTATCTCACCAAGGGTTCTCCGCAGAATGTCTTTATCAGCTGTCCAAATTGCTATATATTAATGTTATTTTTCATGTCTTCTAATAGTTGAGGCATATTTTTGTACAAATGATCCATCTTAGGATGAGCCAAGCCTTATCACAAGTATCGCTATTACGCAAATCATACGGCTCATATTCCCTTGAAAATTAAAATGGCAGGTTTTTATTTAGATTATCAAAAATGATTTCTCTAATGATGGCAATTATTTTAATGATTAATTTGCTATTTTTTAGTGATATCGTACTTCAATTTTTATAGGGTGATAAAGGAGAGATTGGTTCGGCTGGTAACACTGGTGCTAAAGGTGAAAGAGTATGTGTGAATTAACCTTTTCTTACATATCTACATGTTGAGAATTGCATTCTAGAGTTTTTCGATATTTGTATGATTCATTTCATTTCAGGGTTTTCCAGGTGCTCCAGGGCTTAGAGGAGAACCAGGATTAATTGGGATGCCGGTAAATATTTTGCACTGTTAAAACAATCTTCCTTATTATCAACAAACGTCTCCAGCATTGTCAAACATAATGCTGCCGATCTTCGATAAGATGAAATTTAAGTGAAAAATCCATTCATAAAAATATACGTCACTTTCAGAAGATTAATCTTATGTCAGGATTCTTTATGTATATGATAATAATGCTATAAACACCAATTATTGCTCAGAATGCTTCCCTAGAAAAATAAAACTCAAATAGCATTAAATGGGTCTCTTTAAAGAATACCTTTCGATTAGCATGTTATTGAATGAAATAGCTTTAAATGGGATCGTTTGAAAACATAATAAGTTCGTAGAGAAGAACGTGCAAGAAAAAATAAGCAACGTCTGCTTTAATTTAATTTTTTATACTAACTTAGATTTATGTTTTCGCAGTCGGAGGTATTTCTTCTTCTGAAATACTTAATAGTTTTATGATGAAGTCGTTCCATGTCATCTGTCGTTTTCCCTTTCATTAAAACAGATATTTAATCTTTATAAAAATGCGCATATCCATAATGCTTCGAAGTTCTGTGAAATCTGAATCGCGTTATAAATTGATCCATGATTTAACTTAATATGGCTGAACATTTACTGTATGAATTTGTGGAAATTCTTTGAAATATCATTTTGAAAATAATTTTTTTTTCATTTTTAATATGAATTATTTACTCTGACGGTTCCTAAAATATGCAGCAACCTCTCTATATATCGACCAGGTTAATAGCTGGAAAATTACCTAATATTGTGCTTAGAAACTACTGAGTATGAGTTTGTTTGTAGAATAATGTCAGTTATTCAGTCGAAGGAAATCAGTTTACAGTACAAACGTTCAATTATTATTTATGGTCAATTGAAATTGTTCTGTTGTGCAGATATTAGCGAACCAATTGAATAAGAATGGCAAAAGAAATTTAAGAAGATAGAAATATGTTTTAAATTATATTAATCTGTAATATTATTAAAAAGTAAAGTGAAGTTTTAAGCTATTAGAATATGTTTATTAGTTTCAAATTTCTCACTAAGCAATGGAGGTATAGTTTGATTATTATTAAATAAAATTAAAGATATATCTCTAGTCAAATGGCAACTCTTTAGAAACATGCTGTCCACCCGGTCTTGTGTACAATAAATTACCTTTCAATACCTTCCTAAGGGTAACACTACTATGCAAAAACATAGTTCGAATAGTTGGTAAGTATCATGCTAACGTAACAGCATAATGTACGGGGTAAAATATATGTTTTTATATAATTAGCATTAATTCTTAATATATTTTGTTTGTACAACACATTCAATTCGACTTATTGAAAATATTGAATTGTTAAAGTTCCACTAATAATTTTAATTGTCTTTCCAATATTTAAGGGACCTTCGGGAATACCAGGAACAAACGGCCTTCCAGGTTCAAAAGGTGATAAGGTAAGAAGAATCATTAAATAAAACAGTTTCAAACGTGAATTTTTTTATCAGATTTCTATATTTTACCTTAAATTGTTATAGGTCATAAAAGTATACCCGATTCTGCTTTTACAGAAGATGTATATGTATATGATAGTTATTCTACATTGAATATGTAATACGATATCTTAGAATAGAAGTATGAAATAATTAAAATATCAGGGCATTTTGAGGTACAAAATATGCAGAAATCAGTATCCAGAGCATCTGCATGTGGCAACAGAAGCTGTTACACAGCTGGTCATGAAGTGGAACAGATTTTAGATGATAGTTACGGTGCTGCAGTAATGTTGATGTGGATGGTCAAAGTGCCAACTTTGCGATCTAAAAATGGAATGGATGGCATCCCAGATGCTGGACCAGCTTGATGATTAAGAATATACCTTTCAACAACCATTTCACTTGGTACGGATAAGCTATCACGTACTCCAATCAGAAACAGAATTCATCAGAAATCATGAAGCATTTGATGCATCTATGAGCATCGCCATTGTAAATAGGTGCTCTGACGCCTGCCCTGTAGCTTCAAAGGAAGCCGACCATGCAAAGGTCGCTTTGCTGATAATACGTGGAATTGCAGATGTTGTCTCATAGCATGTTCGGTTGCTTGATGATATAAAAACACTGGTTTCCTGAACTAGGGTATTTGTTGTAGTTGTATGATCCTGACAGCGATGTGGATAAGAAATCAATTATCTCGGATATTAGTAAATGGAAGGCATTCAACGAGATCTCCCACGATGCTCATTGTGGCCTTTCTGTACCCAATGACTGCAAATACAGTCACTGGATCCCAAACAATAAGTGCAGGGTTAGATAATCCGGTAGTAGTCTACGATTTGGCAGCGAGCGAGATTGTTTGACTATGCTAGTACGAATTCAAACTCCACTAGTACTAGTGCCTTTTTTCTTAAAAAGTAGCATAATATAATCTTAACGCACAAAATAAGGAATAAATGTGTTTTCCGAAAGAAAAATCCCTTCTTTTGCCACCTTTTCATACTGCTTTAAGGTTTCATTGTTCTGGCTTGTAATGTGCAGATGCGCATTCGTAAATTGCTAGTCATGTAAACGTCCCAGCGCATTCTGCTTTCACATAAATGAATGCTTAAATAGTTCTTACTTCATACACGAAAACAGATACTCCATGACATATCTTATTGAATAAAATCAATTTCTTACGGTACTTTCGTAATCATGATTTCAAACTAACTTAACATTTCCATTCATTCCTTATAAATTCATTCATTCCTTATAAATTCATTCATTCCCCATTCATTCCTCATAAATTAATTTTTATTTTCGAAATTCTACTAATCGAACAGAAAATTTCGAGAAACAGAGAATGTTTTTACTGGTTATATAGATTAAAATTGATAAAACTTGTTACGTAATTACCTAATCATATTAGCATAGATTCTATTTTAAGCATTTAATGGAGAAAGTGTGTATCCAATTATTAGAAAGAACTACACTCATGTCCATAAATTAAGGATAATTCGGAGTCACGCGAAAATCGAACTCTAAAATAAATATATCACCTGTAAAATCACTACACACATCTTCAAGAATCATATGCAAATTTCAGGAAGTAACCAGATGACACCGATGGTACGTCACAATGACGAGAGTGTAAGAGAGTGATATATAAGGAATACAGGCAAAGAAGCAAAATTGTTCGCAGGCGCTTTATAAGAATTTCAGTGCAATAACCGAATAGTTATGACACAAAGGACGCATTTGGATGCTTTTTACGTGGTAGAATTATCGGCCATCTGGAATGTGGGCGTACTCAACTGGGAGTATCAGACGAACTTGGAATTGACCAGAGTGTCATCTCCATGCTTTGGCAACGATTCCAAGATGATGGTAATGTGAGTAGACGTTACAGCAGAGGTCGCCCCAGAGTTACTACGCGGAATAAGGACCGGTATTTGGCAGTTACGGCCAAAAGAAACCGGCGGAGCAGAGCCTCAGACCTGTCTCGTCAGCTCTCTTCAGCAACTGGTACGACAATTTCAAGGCAGACCGTGTACAGACGCTTAGGGCAGATTGGTCTATATGCTCGTAGACCTATCACATGCGTTCCACTTACTGCAACTCATTGTCGCCTGCGGTTAGCCTAGAATAGAGAGCATGCATTGTGGACACCGCAACAGTGGGCTTGTGTGATGTTTTCCGACGAGTCCAAGTTTAGCTTTCAATACATGTCTTTAGGAATCCATTTTTTAAATCATAATAAAGCTGTGATTGCTTATAACAATATAACTTTATACATCGTAAATTAAATGTACAAACATAATGTATCAGATGGATACTCTGTTAGAAAGTGCATTTTTCGCTTTTGAACTGCTCAGTTTGTTACGGAGTATTAGTCTGATTCTCGCCGGACTTTCATATGGAGAACTCCAGGTACCCGTTACCACCAAGAAAACATCATTGAACGACACCGTTACGGTGGTGCAGGAGTGCTCGTTTGGGGTGGAATTATTCTGGGTTCCAGAACTTACCTCCATGTTCAAATTGGAACCATGACAAGCCAAATCTATCGTGACGTCATTCTGGAACAACATGTAAGTTTGTTTCGGGGCGCCATGGGCGCACAATTTGTGTTTATGGATGACAACGCCCGTCCTCACCGTGCAAACATCGTAAGCGAATGCCTTCAATCGGAGGATATCACCCGCATGGACTGGCTAGCATTCTCACCGGACTTGAATCCAGTAGAGCTCGTGTGGGACATGCTTGGCCGACGAGTTGCAGCCCGTCAACCTCCTCCTATATGTCTACCGGAACTTCGGAGAGCATTGTGTTTTGAGTGGTGCAATATCCCCCAAGATCAGATCGATAATTTGATACTATTAACAATCATACCAACCATGTAATATTGGCTTTTTGTAAATAAGTTTTTTTTTTTTTAATTTGCTTCAGGGAGAAAAAAATCGCTAACGTTTTTAATAATATCAAACATATAGCATCTTTTTTTTACTCTTCACCTTTTGTTTAATAAATGAGCTTTACAAATAAGTCAAGTTTGTTTTGCTTCTAACTCTTCCTTTGCTTGATTTTGCATTATCCTTAATTTATGGACATGAGTGTATTTGAAATATCTAATGATAAGTGACATTTTTAGTACAAATTCAAATTTCGGAATTTTAAAAGGAATATTTTCTCAGCATTAATTCAATTTGGGGTTCTTAAAAAGTAGCCATTTTAATCTTGTGCTGGATGAAAATAGTGGTGTAAAAAGAATAAAGCGAAAGATTCTTAAACAGAGAACGTAGTGTACTGAATTAGAAAGCTTTTTTTATTAATTAATAAGTTCTTAATTAAAGACTAAATTTATTATACATTAAATTCTCTTTTAATTAAAAATTTAAATAAATGATATATTATAAAATTTAAATATAATAAAAGTCTTTAGAATTATAAATCTTTAATTTGTTAAGCATTTTATAACGTATTTTATAAATAACAATATTATATCAACCATTAATACTGTTCAACTGAAAATGCTATCAGTTAGATGTAAAATTAATTAATGAAATTAAATATACTGTTAAAATGGGCTAAGTTTTAAAGTATTAAAAAATTCATCTATTGTTTTCAAAGTGTTCAGTTTGTTAAGAATTTATAACTTGAGGTCTAAATTAAAGTTTTATGCTACATCAAGTCATATTTCAATAAAGCAGGGTTTCTTAAATTGTCGGTTGCGACATCCTTGTAATGGTCGCGGGACCTGCAGCAGCGGGTCGCCAAAAATTTTAGCAGTTTTGATATTTCTTTAACTTATTATAATAATTTTACAATTACCAAACATTTTTACACAATGTATCTGAAAATAGATAAAGATAAGACAATATAGACCAAGAAAAATACGAAAACGTTTCGACGCATTCTTTTTATAATATAAATGTTCATTTTCCTTGCTTTGCATGTGACGTTGTCATTTCGTTATTAAAATTTTCACATTATTCTATGTATTAAAATTAGAAATTAAAATTAATGAAATAAAACTGCAATAGTATATTACAGTACAAGTGAAAACATTGACAGTTAACTCACGCGTGTGTCGGATTTGTACTTATTTGGGAATATTATATAATAAAAATATTGGACAATACTTATTTGGGTGCCACAAAATTTTTATAAATATTATGGGGTCCTGGGGTCGCGAAAAAATCTCAGTGATAAAAAGGGGTCGCGATTGAAAAAAGTGTAAGAAACCTTGCAGTAGAACACGCTGAATAGAAGATAGACCAAATATCTTAATGCTTGTCAAGACGCATGAGTGATAAATACATTAGCATAAGGTAATATCATACAGCGCAAGAATACAATGTCCAATATTTTTGAAAAGGTTGTTCTAAGAAACTATAGAATATGGTCTTTCGAAGTAAAATATGATTTTTTTCGAAGCCATATGAACAAAAGTCATGAAAGAATAATCCATATAAAAGCGAAACAATTTTGTAGTTAGGGTGGACAATACATGTCTTTAGGAATCCATTTTTTAATCATAATAAAGCTGTGATTGCTTATAACAATATAACTTTATACAACGTAAATTAAATGTACAAACATAATGTATCAGATGGATACACTGTTTTAAAAGCTATAAATTATTAAAAAGTGCATTTTTCGCTTTTGAACTGCTCAGTTTGTTACGGAGTATTAGTACATTTATGAAGGTAAATTAAAGGTGGTATGTTCCACGGATCGACAAAACTTCACGAGCTGGTTCTTTTCCTTGCCACATGGAAGGCAAATTGATGTAACGACAGGTACCATGCAACACTTGCCCAATCGCGTAATTGATTAATGACACGTCCAATTTTTTAATAAAATGGTGCATTTATTTAATAAGACTGACGGAAAATTTTTATTTTTGCTTAAAATGGTATATGTAAAATAAGATTTAATTTATGTATTTAATAAAGGTGCAGCATTTATATATTTTATAATATAATATATAATATCATTATATTTAACTCTGTAGATAAGAAAATGTATATGTTAACGGCAACGCATGAAAACCAGACAATCTAGCCAAGAATGTCTAGGCAATATATAGAATGCCTGGAGCTTTCGGGTCAAGTATGCAATATCTGAACTTTTTTTAATATTGTTACGAAATGTACAGGCGCGGTGAGATGTTTCCCTGCAAAGTAATTTTAGGGTTGCCATAAAATGGCAAGGGAGGCAGAGTTGTCACATTTGGCGAGAAATCGCCCATTTGGCCACAAAATTGGCGATATACCATGGACGGATGGAGAACCTTCTGGAACGAATTCTTACCGGTTTAGCCCAGAATGTTCTCGAACACAAGCCAAAAACTGTATAAACCCTGCTGGTCCGCAGTCAGTTAGTGTGTGTGCCTCGTCTAACGAGCCGATAGTCAGTCATTGAGCGAGTGTCTCGAAGTCTAGCGCCAAGTGCATCGAGAGAGTCTTTTAGTGCATCGCGAATTAGTGCATCGTCGAGTTTTGTCTTAGACTGTGCTGAGTCGAGAGCTATACTCTTGTATATCATCGAGTGTATCGCGTGGAGAGTCTCGAGAGTACTTGGAGTTCCGAGAACAACCAAGGGTGTTTTGCAGTGAAGCTGTCTCCACCGTTAGTGTGGACTGTGTGGACCTGACAGTGTGAAGGCTGTGTCGCTGAACGTATCAGCATGTTTATAACAGTTCGACGACTATAAAAGTGATTTCGGAGCTATCTGATTAATATTGGTAAATAAAGTGTGTTTCGATACTTCATCAAGTTTCAACGTTATTCCCTCCAAATCTACGAACCCCGTACGAACGTGAATGAAGAATATAACGTAACAATATCATATATATGTATATTATCAAAAACAAGATCTAAAACTAGATGGCACTAAAGCTTTAAAAAATAAACTAATTAATCCTTTAAATAATTCTTTAATTAGTTTATTTTTTTCAACAAACATCATAGATTAGCAGTTCAGTGACCAATAGTGCCTTGGTTCCTTCTTAGTACTTATCTGGGCCTTTTCCTTAATATCTTCGGGTAAGAATTCTTCACTTATGAAAACATTAGTTCGAACTTTAGATAATTCATCGTAAACTCGTCATTGAATGTCAACATACGATGATTGATTCCTTCTCGGATGAGTGTGGGCTACAGGCTTTGCTTAACAAAACACAAAGTAGAATACTTCTTCACTTCTGAAAAAAGAATGAAATTCAGATGGAGAATTCTGTTTCTGAGGCCAGCGTCAGTGTCATATCCCTTACCATGTGACACTATTAGCGGGAATACTTTATATTTTGTTGGTTTGTCTTTTGACATTGCATAAGATGCGTTAGAAATGTTTCAAGTATTAATCCTTTACACCGAGGCCCAACTTTTGAGATTTCTATACATTGCCTAGTATTCTATACAATACCTGCCTTAGAGCATTTCCAAGAACATTTACATTAATTCGCTGCGCTTACGTGACGCCTAATATTATATATTTTGAGTCCCTTAAGGTCTAAACTGTACCACGTCTTAAATCTTCTTTTTCATAAAATTTGAATTATATTTTGAGCTATTATAATAGAAATTATTAAAAAATTAATAGAAAACTGTTACTTTAAAATAGGTGCTTCAAGGTCGTTTCCATTGCTTCCGGCTTTCGTTGCAACCATGGTAACCACCACTGCGGAAAATGGCCGATTACTCTAGCCTCTAATGCCCTATGTGCAGTAATGTTAACACACGTTACAATCGTAAATGAGGGCAGGATCAGTACGACGTGAAAGTGCTCTTATTATAAAGCAACAGAATTGAATCTGTGATTGGGCTAATTCCCACAATTCTGTAAAAATTCTTTTTTTTTTTTTTTTTTTTTTTTTTTTTTGTGTGTGTGTGTGTGTGTGTAGGAATTCCTTTAATACTTGATAATCTTAGTGTAATATAACGTAACAGCTACAAAAATTAGAAAAATTACGCTAAAGACATTTTAATATCAAAAGCAGAATTGGACGTACTTGAAAGTATTGATGAATTGTCTAGTTTGAAGACTGATTTCATTTTTAAAATGTTATTTATTATGATTAGAGTGAAAATTTTTAATTTCAACAGTTTTAAATATCATATAAAATAAAACATATTAGAGAAGGAAAAGATTTAGATAAAAATAGTAAGGCTAGGTAAGCTGCTTGGAATGATAAAACAGCTGTGACATGAAATTTCATGTCTGCGTTGTCTAACATATGTAATTACTGTACTGTACTTTTTCCATTTTTTTCAGGGCGATGCTGGAGAGCCTGGTCTTCCAGGAGAAGTAGCGAAAGCAGGGGATCCTGTAAGTGTACCAGAAGCATCATTTTATTTTTCTATATTTATACTGCACATAATATTTTGATTTGGATTGTCGTACTATGCTTTGAGCTTCTTTCTTTTTGAAGATAATCGTAGTTATTAAGTTATTAACTTCAAGCAGAAGTTAATAATATCTTCTCTGTTTCGATATTAGCTTACCAAAAACAAGTGCAATTTCAATGTAAAAGAAATCAGCTAGCATAAAATTACTTAAGGTGTTTCGATAACAGGAGTTGCCAAACGTATGATTTCAAATTATAAAAGGCGCATAAAAATACACAAAACTGTTCCATATTTAAAGTGTGTAGTAATTTATTTAAGGCTGAGAATTGTAGAATTTCCAACAACCTATGTGGATGATACGTATGAACCTAAGTAAATGATGTGCATGTTTTTTTGCAACCTAATGTACAACCTTCAGAATGAAATAGTTATTCTTGGATATTATCGACCAATATAGCGATTCGGTGTTTCGAAAATTAAAACGTTTCGATGCAGATTATATTTCTTTGCTTATATAGCATTTTAAAATACTTTACTCAGGCCAATGATTCTAAGTTTGCAATATATTTAAAGTCAGCAGGTTGAGGCTTTATTCACTTCCGTAAAATAAAGAAAAGAAATATTACAAACTTGTAGTTCGGTTTGTTTAGTTGATTATAGCAAAGAACACTAGAACTATCTGACTAAAGAAAGGGATACTTCGTGAAGGATTATCTAACGGAAATTGGTTCGTATACATATTATACATGGTGAAAACCATGAAAACGCCCATTCAGACAGCCCTTTCGTCTGTAATTGAACCCAGCTCGAAGCTACCAATACGTATATAACTATTTTATCGCTCGGCCGCTTGTGGACACTAAGTTATGTGTAACATAATGATAAATAAGTGCGTTATGCAGTGTAATAAGTTATGTATAAATTTATGCGCTTTTAAATGAAGCAGAATCTTAACTGATGCTGATTTTATACAATAACTCTCTAGCTTTCAAATTAATTTTTCAGTGGTCAGCTTTCATCAAGGCCCAAAATTATTTTACGCAATTTTTCCAGAAAAACCTTTAAAAGAAGATATGCAACTGAGAACGTATGAGGATATGTGCATTTTGAATAATGTTGTACACTTACGTTCGCGAATGCAAATAAATAAATGCTGTATAATCTTAATTTTATAATTGTATTCTCATAATTCTCTCAGTTTTATTCTCAATTAACAGCGCTATCTACCGATGCAAATTTGAACTAAAATGCACTTTATACCAGAATTAATCCGTCTCTGTGAAAAGTAATTAGGCTCAAAGCAGACCTTGATAAAATAATAAGGATAGATAAGCTTGATACAACAATTGACTGATTTTACATGAGACTGACTTTACATTTACTTTAAAATGAGAGAGATTTGAAAACATCATATACCCCATCTCCGCAAAAGTCCTTATTCAACCTTCATTTTGGAACCGTTGTTTGCAGACATATAATTCCATTTGCAGCATTGTTTTAAATGGCTAAAATGTTTGTGTTTCGGCGATCAGAAATCTAAACGCATCAGTTTTATAAAAATTACGAGACATAACATTTTATACGTTGCTTCGATCATGTAACTTTTATTTATGAAAATTTTACACTCATTGTAAAAAACAAAAGATAAAAAATTTTATTTTCAGGGAGAAAAGTTGATCGAGATTCTTAATTTTAAAATGTGCGCTTTTTGACGTCATATTCAGTTTGCATTGAGAAGTCAATTAATAAATAAATCAGAATAATTCAAGCTTGATTTTTTTAAATTCTTAAATGCCATTCAATGATATTCTTTCACGATTTACTAGTGTGTTTAATTTATTACTTTGCTGCATTTGGTATGGCGAAAGAATTTTCACAGAAGTAATTTGTAAGTTTTCAAACACTAAAAGAAGTTATTAACATTCTTACGAAATTAAGATTACTTGAGCATTTCTGCACCAGTTATTGGGAAAAATAGCGATGAATATATTTCGTAATGAAAAAAGGAGCTCTTATTCATAGTATCTTCTAGAAAACATTAGAAAGCTTCAGTTTTTCCACGCAGCCAGTTTGTCGTATTACTGTAAGTACAAGTGATATAGTACATGTAATAGTATACGGTAATTATCTGTTTAAACTATTTGTCCATAATATTCCATTTTACAATTTGCAGAGTTTTGGAACGTTGGATGTGCGTGACCTTTGGATCACCCAGTATATATAAATATATGTTAATATATTTAAGAAATCGCTGTGTAATATAAAGCTGGAGATCTCAAATATAATATTATTAAGACAATAATTAATAGGCATCATTCGTAAACTTATAGATATCTATAGTACACCATAGTGACATTAAACACGAAAAATAAACACATTTAATTATTAAAGTCACCTTGGTATATAATAGGAAATCTAAAAATTAAACATAATTTAGCTTTTCTCATTATAAAACAGAGAGAACGAGTCAAGGAATTTTTCTCGGAGATATTCTTCTTTTTCAAGATTAACGATAAATTTCTTACTTTTTACTAAGTCCCATATTCCTTTTTCAAAGGAAGGGGGAAAAGAATCTCATTTATTTATTTCAAATCACTGGGTTTCTTCCATATCCAATTATACTGAATGACCATCTTAAAGATTTTCGCATTCCAATTCACATTTCCAATAATTGGTGAGTGAATTTTCTTTTGTTTACTGAAATGCTTGGCTGAAAGGTAGAAATTTAATATTGGCAGGCAGACAGAATAGGCTGGATCTAACAATTTCATGCAGTAATTTGTTTCCTAGTTTAACAAAGAAGATATTTTTTATCATACATTTCCGCTTTTTAGAGTTGAGGGAGAAGGCACACGTACATTTAATTTAAATTATAGTACATACTTATGCACATAAATATATTTTATGTATAATTACACTTACGAAAGCTTATTTTGCATTCTAATTTAAAGAATTTACTTTCATGCCGCATTTCCTATTATTGGTGAAAATGTGCTTTAGCCCACTGCTTGGCGATTTTCAGTAGTAGCGATTTTATGCAAAACGCCAGTAAAATCTCAGAATACGTTGCGTAAACAAAGTTGCTAAGGCGGACCTAAGTGACGTCCATAAATGGGTGCGACTAAAATTGTGACGTCACAATGTATTCGCTATAGATATAGAAATAAGTATAATAAATTCTTTATATATTAAGTTATAATAATGCAGTAAGTGAATTGTACCAGTTATTAAAACGGTAAACAACATCGCAGTCTCTCATATTTGTATTTCATACAGCTTCAGTATTTCAAAGATTTTAGAATTATACAATAAAAAAAGATTTTATTATTAAATTATTGCGGCAAATATAGAATGTTTGCAAATTAGTCGTGTCTTATAAAATAGTATGTATTCCAAATTACATTAAATCATTAATATAAGGGCTTAATAAATTTCAAGACTTACCGCCTTTCATGGTTTTTTTTGATGCTGGATTATATTCCGGATAACTACTAGAAAAATACTAACTTCTTCTTTTGTGAATGAATCAACGTAAAATAAATCATACACATGGTTTTGATTTTTTGGAGGGTTTATATTGCCATAATATTATTTACATTTTTAGTTTAAAAATAAATACGTTACATTAAAATTCCATATAATTTGCATATAAAATACGTTACATTACAGCTCGGATAATCATTTAAAGAACAATATCCGATTACAGCCGATTCAAAAACTACCAAAAATCGAGATCAAGTTCTGAAAAAAAGCGCTAGTTCGACGGTTTTCGTCTGGTTTCTCTCTGTTGCCAATACGCTCGAATCAAAAACTATTTCCCTCTTTTTTTTTCTTTTTTTTAACGGAATAGTTGCCAACAAATTTAAATTCATATTAACGAGCATTTTAATTTATCATTTTTACAAATTACCTTGTTGCTACGTAACGACACAATCCCTTAGGTACTAGTAATAGACATCTCAGTATTTTCTAAAAATTTTAAACTTTACATTAATAAAAAAAAATATTTTTATTGCTGATCAACATCATACACAGCTTTCATATCACTCTTTTTTAAATTCTTAAATCACGTCATATTCTATAGTCTTACTAGAATTCTATACATTCTGCAAATAAAAAAATTCTAATTTCTCACAATAAAAGAAAATAAACACTACAAATGGAACATAAGCATGCTTCACACACACACACATATTATCAATGAACTCATATTATCAAGTGCAAATCCGATAGCAAATACTGGGTATTAAAATAAAAAAAGTATAAGTTATTTATAGGGTCAAATTTTGCTACTATTGAGTAGATCGTCGGATTATCGATATTTTTCGGAAAGCATTATCAACATATCAAAACCAAACAATTAAAAATACAATAAAAAAAAGATGTCTAAAGTATAACTTGCAATTAAAACAACAATGCAGATTTAAAATACGCAAACGGCACATTAAACATTGCATATAAAATATGTTACATTACAGCTCGGTATAACATACAGCCTCGCTTTGTTCATGTGCACAACGATATGTATTCGCTCGAAAAACTTCAAAGAATTGCAAAAATTTGGTGTCGATGTACACATCCATCTATTTTCACTAAAAAAAATCAGAGAATTCCACAAACTCGGCATTGCGCGCTACATTGGCTTTTCCCATGTACACATCCATCTATTTTCACTAAAAACATCAGAGAATTACACAAACTTATTGCGCACTGCCTTGGCTTTGTCCATGTGCAAGTCGATCTATTTTACTTAGAAAACATTAGAGAATTGCACAAACTTGGCACTGCGTGCTACATTGGCCTTGCCCATGTACACATCGATCTATTTTCACTTAAAAAAATCAGAGAATTGCACAAACTCGGCATCGCGCACAACCTCGGCATTGCGCACTGCATTGGCTTTGCCCATGTGCACATCGATCTGTTTTCACTTAACCCGCGGGAAGGCGCGTGGGGTGTATCATACCCCAACCCTACATA